TAAATCCGGCTCGGCCCGGCTCGTTTACATCCCTAGGTGTTTGTAACATTATCATGTAATTATTTTGTTTATAAAATTGAAATTGTTGTATGAAATTATTTCCTAATAATATATCACATTCTAATTTATCGTATTTATAAACTTTATTTATTGTTACTTGTTTACTTCCAAGAATAATATTAACTTTATCAGCACTATTAATTATTTGAATACTTTCTCCTGTAACACCAGTTATTTTTATATTACTATTATTATTCCATGATTTTATTGAAAAACTTTTAAATATTATTATATCACTTCTTGTATCTATTAAAGCACAAGTTGTTATATTTGTTTCCACAATAGTAATTTTTATATACACAGCTAATGGAAAACTTATCTGATTATTCATCTAATTCTTTTTACATAATATATTTTGTCCATTATGAACAATATATAATCCTTCTCTTTTTATACTATAATCTTCTAATTCATTTAGAAAACTCATTCCTAAAAGTATACGGCGATTTATATCCATACTTTTATCTATGTAACATGGTACTAAAAAATTTATTCCTCTTATTTTTATTGGTACCTTAACTTCTAAATCTGTTATATGGACTTGTCATCAAAATTTACATACTTATATGGTTCAGTTTTATGAGTTATTAGTCCTTTGTTTCTAATCGAAACTATATGACACTCACTAGCTCCTGTATCAATTAATATATTTGGTCAATTTATATTTTTTCTTCCATTATAATATTCTCCTTCTATTTTCATGTTTCCAACATTCCTATATAATTTTACTTCTTTTATTTTGTTAATTTCTTCTAACTGGTTTTTATTAGGTATTTTAAAATTTTTTGATCATTTAATTAATTTTCCATCCTTAAATGTTATGTTATTAGAGCATTTTCCTTCATTTAATTCTGTTATTTCAGGTTTATTTTTTGCTATACTAAATTCATATTCTTCTGAAATTAAATATATTTGTTTATTTGGTTATATTATTTTACTAATATCTCTACATTCTTTATGAACTTCGATATATGGTTTATTGGAATAAATATTTCCATAATTAGAATTGATAAATGTGTATAAAGTTCTATATTCTATAGTCATAATTTGATCACCTGGTTGCATAATATCATCTCTATGAAACTTGAAATATAGTCCTAAAACTTCATTAAAGTTTATA